CAGTAGAATTTTCCCACAATCATATGAGTAGAGCTGACGCTTCCATTGAATTTCACATAGCCTTGCTTTCCCAAAAGTTGTTCTTATTCAGGGTGGATTGCAGTTTCAACCTCACATAAGTAACGGAGTTGATAGCAAATATATACGTTTTCTTCATCGGCACTCCCACCAAAGAATATGATATAGCAAAGAGGCCTGACCTTCCTTGAAATTTACTTATTCTCTGTGACTCAAGTGTACTCGTGGCAGTGTAGCCGAGTGGTTAGCGTGTCAAGCTCCCATCCCGCACTGTCGTAGTTCGACTCCCACTGAGGGTGTTGATAAGACCGATGCGAGGTCGAAACTGCAATCCACCCTGGATGAGAACAACTTTTGGGAAAGCAAGGCTATGTGAAATTCAATAGAAACGTCAGCTCAACTCATATCATTGTGGGAAAATTCTACTACCAGTCCTTCATCATTTTAGCTGAAATAGGGTGAATACATTTCATTACACTGATTTACTGGTAGTCTCGAAACCCTACTCGCATACGAATATCAGTGGCTTTAGCCTCGAATTAGTCACCCAGACGCAGGAGATGGGTAATAATGCCTCGAGTAGCCCAAATGAGGTTGCAGGGGTCGAGTGAAATACTTGAACCAGGGAGATAGCAGACAGATCCTACGGGACAAGAGAGAAATTCTGATAAGATATGTGGAAGGAAGACTGATCATCATTCCGAATAAAAGGATGGAGAGGGGATGGAAAGTCAGCGTGGAGAGTGGAGAGTTCTCATGAAAGCCGCTCAAATGGGCTTACCACATTTAAATAATCAATTAAAATTGACAATTGGTCAAAGGATCGGCTTCACTTGTCTCTGACGAATTGTATTGTGGTGTTAAGAATGACAATGCTCAACGACAATGCCGGCGAAACGTCTGGGAATGTACCACGTGCAGGATCCGACTTTGGAAACGATCATGCATACAATGGACTCCCGACTAGGTGCGTTCCTCTAAGTCCTACCAATATGACCAAGCTGCGAAAACAAAGTCTAACAACTTTTATGTAATGAAAGGAGACTGCGACTAAACCAAAAGCCGCACCATCTTGCTCTTCATATCGGTGATTTTTATGTTTGCCAGCCGCCAATTGACAAGCAGGTAGGAAAAAAAGGTGGGTGCAGAATTTATGTCAGGACCACTGCAAACTGCACCTTGAACCTGTCTTGGAGATGATTACGCTTCCATTAAGTCACTTGCAGTGACACACTCTTAGACAACATTGGAGGAAACGAGAGCACATAATTGTGTGAATAAGAGGATTGGCCATATGAAGAGGGGTTGAGAGAAATAGATGTGCCCTAGAAGGTAGAACAAAAAATAGGGGCCAGAAGTGCTGCCATAACGATTGAATATAAAATTGGTCAGAGGGGTTGCCTTTAATAAGTTGAAATTTTGTGTTAACGATGGCGCCTATCTCTGACCATGCCGAATACGATGCTGGCGAAACGTTTAGGAATGTACCCAAGGTCAAACCAACACTAATAATTTTAGGTTGTTTTTATTGATTATATTCTAATAGCTGAGTCTCCCACCGAAATTTAAGTCGGTGTTATCACTTCTTTATGGCTTTGTAGGCAACTGGATTAGAGGGCAGATTTTTATTTTAAATCTCTTTATGCCACTAGTGAGCCTAAAGTCAGGAAGACAAACCATTGCATTTTATTCTATTATAATAGAAATGACGAAGCTAGATAGCTTCGAAATTTATTTGGTAATGTCGCCATCTAAATCGAAAATTCACACTCATCTTTTTAACAACCGTTTTATTATAAATGTGAATTCGGCAAGTACTAGCTTGCTTTGAGAGCTATATCTGTACTATTGCCTTCTGGTACTCTGGGCTGTGTAGAGGATTTGCAACGTTGTCACCCCAAAGCATGTTTTATAATCGCTGCGAGCAAGGCACTTGGTTTGCTTTATATGGTTGAAGACCTAATAGTTGAGTTACCTTTAATGAAATTATTAGAACACTTTGCTTTAGCTACAAAAATAACATAGTATCCCGGATGGACTACAGTTTGGACGATGCTTTGGTCATACCAGTACTCCCCAAAGGAGTTCGAAGCCTTCAGGTGAGAGCGTTGCAGGTCTGCGGAATTGAAATATCAGAAAGTTACATACAAATGGCAACCATTTATGTTTAATCTTTTCCAATCTTCATATTTTAGGCTCTTTGGAAGATCTCTCCGAGAGGGGTCCTTGTCCTCCTTTGGTGTCTAACTCCGAGCGTACAGAGGCTTCAGCTGATGTAAATTAGCTTGCTTATTCCAACAAAATGTGCATAACTTTCATCATTCTGGAATTTGGGAATTTTAATTTGATAAACTCCTCCAACCCTTGTATTCAGGTCTCCTGCCTTATGTCTGCTGCCTCTCTTTTACGTCGTGAAGCTTGGCGCGTCTATCACAGTCATTCTTGGGGCCCTCCAACCACTACTTCCTCAGCCGTTACCTCAAGCCTTGAATTCATCGAGACAGAACCCAATATTCAACATGCAAATTTGTCTGAGCTTTCAGGCACCACATTCCGGATGGAGGTACTTCTACGAATAAGAGGAGTAGATGAAAATTTTTTAACTTCATTCGCACACCCTACGCTAACTCTCTTTGAAATCGCTGTTCTTCAGCATGCAACATCTTTTCTCTTGAAGGCTTTGAAAGTCGATTAGAGTTCGTGTGTTTCAAGAGGAAACAGCTGCCAATCAACGCTCTAACTTTACTCATTTGCGAGCATGTAGAGTGAGTTTTAGGTAGATAACCAAATCGTGGGATGG